AATTGATGAGCCTTCTGCTCTTTTTAATGAGGTCCTTTCGTCTCTTCTCCCTTTCTTAAATTTGGATGCTATAGGTACTTTGTGGCCTAAGTTTGTATTTGTTTGGGCTTTAAACCTTGTTTACTAGAAAAAAAATTTTTAACAATCTATTCTTTTAAAAACATTTTTTAACACATTTATGACATGTCAAGTTTTTAAAATAATCTCATAAACAAATACTTGAACCCTTAACTAATTAATATATTTTGTCAACCAAAAATTGAGTCTTTTAATAAATAAAAGTAATGTAAAATCAAAATTTGTATTTATAAGATGTAGCAGTTTTTAAAATATATTAGTAACATTATTAACCATTTTGCTTATTTACATTGCATTATATTTTTAATAAATAAATTATTAAAATTATTTAATATCAATTTGGGTATTACAAAATTATGATGTCAAACAACTCTCTTGAATGGCGTCAAAATTATTATTCTATTTAGTTTTAAAAATAAGAATTACTTTTAATATTTTAAGGATTTAATATCATAAATGTTTTGAATGCTAAACTAATGAAGAGTATTAAAATAAGTTATATTTACCTATTTTTACGAAAGAATCAATATATAATATATATTAGGTTCATATTGATGCACGAAATCAATATTAAAACCACTTTTTTTTTATAGTTGTAGTCACGCATGAAAAATTAAAATAATTTAAAATAGATATTATTATTTTAATTATTTCTATTTATAATTTTTAAAACTTTAATTAAAAAAATTATAGTAAATTTTTATTCACTGCTTAGTACCGTTTTGATTGTAACTCATAATTATACAAATCTTTAATTCATAATTTTTTTTGGATAACAATCCGATTGATAAAATCTTGACTTGATTAATAAAATATAAAAATAAATTAAATAAATTTTATTTTAATTAATAAAAAATATCACTAAACACATGAATTAATTCATTAAAAGTTTTCTGGTTTAATTTATTTTCGAGTGTAAATTTTAGTAAATCTAAATATATTAAATGCTAAAAAAATGTAATCATTTTTAGTAGTTTTACTGTACTCGAACATGTTACTTCTAATATACACGTGGTTAAAAAAAATTAGAGAAATGTTAACAGAATTTTAATAATAAATTACTGAATATTATTGCTAACAGCTAGACCATTTATAATATAAATATCCTTGCCATCAATATAAAAGTGATTCATGATCTGATTTCAAGACAATGACAGAATAAAAATTTTCAAAAGTGTTGGAAAATAGATCATCACTTACTTACACTCATTCAATGTTTCTTATTTTTTAATTTAAAATTAATTCAAAAGTGTCCGTCAATAATACAATATTTACCGACAAAATTTTGTCCCTCAATTACGTAAATTTGTTATGAATCTTACGTAAAGACCATAGATAGATGTCAAAATTGTTATGAATCTTACGTAAATTTCATCCAATATAAAAGTGCTTTTAAAAAAATAGAGTAAAATTTAATTCTTAAAATATGTTAGGTTAAATAAGTTCTTTAACTTTTAATTTTAAAATATTAATTTTATAATTAATAATCATCAATCACATTAAAAATAAGCAATAAAGTGTTAATTTATCATATTAAATAGTGACATGTAAACTCTAAATGATCTCATATTTATGTATCATGTAATGTTTTATTTTCGTCTCTAAAATTAATCTTTCACGTTATAGTTAACAAATTATGTTTTACTCTAACTTCACTTTCTTTGATTTCTCTCTTTGAATTCAATTACAATTTCAAAATTTATAGTACTACATGTTGCTTTAACATCACCAACCAAAATAACATTCTTCTCTCTTACTTTCTTTAACTTGTTTTGGATTAAATTTTATCCCATTAAATGCATCTTCTTCTTTTCTTTTCATTCAGAATCATAACCAAAATACACTTTCTTCAACTTATTTTGGGTTAGATTACATCTCATTAAATACATCTTCTTTTTCTCCTTTCATTCATAATCACATTCGAAATATATTATTCACAGTTACTAAAGATTAAAGACAATAGTTGGATTCACTATGTTGAAGTTGAGTTAGTTTATTGCATATTTGCAATGATGTGTTCATTAAGTCTTTTAGTTGAAACTTTGTTCCATTTAGGTTAATGCTCAAACACTTGACATAGTTGTGGATTCATGTGTTCAACCATGAGATTGAATATTCATGTACAATAAACTCTTCATTCAGCTACTTCAGAGATGAATAATCTTAAAAGAAGAAATAAGAAACTTATATAATGTGAAAAAAATTAGAATTTGTTAACTTTAAGTTTTTGAGAAAAAGAAACTTATCCTATAAAAAAAGTTGTAAAACAATATTATTTGAATTGTATGTGAATATCTATATATCACTCAATATGACAAATTAAAAATCTGTTATTTATTTTTAACGTCTCTTAGTATAAAAGACTAAAGTGATTCACATTATTTATTATTTTCAAAGACTAGATTTTTAAATTTATAATTTTGAAAACTATTTTCTGTTTCATTAAATGTTTTAGAAATTAAAGTAAGAATATACTAAAAAAATATTAAAAGATAAGTTGAAAAATAATTATTTAATAATTAAATTAACCTTTGATCCACTACAAGGTCTAAAATTTCATTTCATTTAGTGAACTTTATTTATAACTCTCTCTCACACACACACAAGAGATTGTTTGGGAAAGGAAGGTGGACATAATTGATATTTTTTTTTAAAAATAAAATATATAATTTAATATATTAACAAAAATTTAATGTATTAATAATATATTTATCATTATAAATAATATGTAACTTTTTAATTTAAAATTAAAAAATATGTCCTCTCTCCTCTTTTTCTTTAAAAACTTCCTCCCAAACATATCCTAAGAAATTGATTAAGAAATTAAAAATATTTTTATTAAAAAACATAAAAATACATTCAGTCACATAATTTTAAAATATTTAAACAGTTTTTAATAAAAAATTACAAATTATTATTAATGTTTTATCCAGTGGCCAACACTCATACTTTTTATTCATTGAAAAAGAAAGGTAACTCTTTGAAAGCTCAACCATAATCTCTAATGTCAGGTTCCTTTATAAAATCCAACCATGCAATGATCGATTAAAAAATAATGTTTCCGTGTGAGGCGATCCATCAGCTATTAACAGGTAATAAGATGGATAGACAAGAACAAAGGCCAAGAGATGTTGGCACAGCGTTTGTGTAATCTAACGATAGTTTGCATGGTATCTATTCAGTGCCGACATGTTATCTGCTTGGAAGTGTATTGTCTAATTTCCATGTGAAAATATTTGAGCGGTTCCTTTTGCAGTTTCAACTTGATTTGATATCCTAACTTCCATTGCCAATAGGTAAAGAAGAATGGGCCACTTTATCAAGAAATTAAAAAAGTTGAGTGAAGTTGCTTCAAATGAGATGCAGCAGCATTAACAATTTGTAAGTAACATGGTAACTTTGGGTGGATTTTCATTAGGTGTGAGGTCATCTCTTACTAAAATATAGCCATCACCTTTTAAAGGAACAAGTGTTACTTCTTCTTGAACTTTATTGTTAAAAATATAGCAATATAGGTATTACTTTTGCGAATCATAATCTAGCTAGAGCTTCTTTGGATGCTAGTGTAGTCAAGCTGGGAGGGTGTAGCTCCAGGCCTAAGTCTCTTTCTCAAAGCGTACAAAAGAGGAACCTACAAAAACATGTACCCTCGTGGGTGTTGTTGATCTTTTTCCTTGTATTCTTTTACTTTCTTACTTAACCAAGAACGAAATAAAACAAAAACGAATCTCCACATTAACTCTTCATCCACTGGTGATTGCTCTTCTAATGACGACTAATGCTATTATTAGTTTCTAAATAACTAATCGGATGTTATTAAGGCCCAACTTGAAGATAAATATATTAGATTTTTTTGTATATATGATACTTTTAAAATAATATATACTGAAATATGAGATTTAAAAAAATTATAAAAATATAGAAACTCAAAAATTATTATTGGCTATTTTTTTTTATAAAGTTAGTTAATTTGTTTGGTTGAATTTAGTAATCGTCAATGATAATTTTTATTTTTATTTTTTTGAAAAATCGCCAAGTTTCATATTTTTGTATTTTTTTTCTAAAATCTCATATTTCAATATATAATATTTTTAAATTTTATATTTAAATTAATTTCCCAATACATTGAATGACCATTTTTATATAGTTTAATAAATTTTCAGAGGATTAAGTTTTTATGTTTATAAATGAAAAGCTAAATGTCAGATGAAATGTAACCTACAATGTATTGCTTATTCTAATTCTTCCCTTTCTTAAAATCTGTCTTTTTCAAATGAAAATTCAACATTTTCATCCAAGGTTTTTTTTTCTTGGTAATTTAATACAAAAAAAAATTCCGAGTCCATTTGAATTTTAAAAAAATATTATTTGAAAATTTTAATTTTAATTCTAACCACGTCAAAGGATCAATAATTCATCGACCATTGATGAGATTTGTTGTTGTTGTTGATTAAGTTTGGCCTGGATTAATCTTGAGAGAAAAGTCGCATTTTTTAAAATCACTTTTGATCAAAACAAAAAATGTAATTGCAATAAGTATGAAACCTCTTGCACAGTAAGCATGCATATATCTACTTACACCTAAAGTATTAACAAAATCAGAGTGAATATGTATAAGAAAAACATATTATAATTAAATGATAAAAATAAACAATGAGATTATGTGTATGCAACGTTTTAGCAGCAGCAGCATTCTTGAAACTAAGCTAAGTTAGTTCTTTTACTCATCAAGATAAAATGCAGTTAAAATGAGAAAGACTTATTTTTAATAGAAACGAATGAGGATGTCATTGTCAAATTAGTTTGATAATCAAGGTCATGGACTCATGTCTTGTCAATTTTATCATATTGAAATGACAGAATATACTTTCATCGTGATTGATTAGCATCATCTTACCGATATTATGCAAAACACTTTAATCTCAATGAAAATGGTAACAATTGCCAAATTCCTGTTATTGACAATAAAATTGTATTTCAGGATACACTATGATAAGTGACAACACAACTGTATTCAACCCAAGTATTAATTATTTTCTCTCTCACTCTCACTCTCTCTCTTATTAACATCTTATTGTGTTCAACATAATGAGAAATAGAAACTGAATAATATGATGCACATCACTCTTTTTTGCTTGAGCTGTATAGAGAATAAAAATCACTGAGATCCCTTGAGCTTCTTTGCAATGCCAGCAAAGTACTTGCCCTGATGAAAAGCTTGAGCCAATTCTAACTCAGAAGGTTGTCTGGAGCCATCCCCAGCATAGGTACCTGCACCATAAGGGGAACCACCCTTCACCTTCTCCATCTCAAACATCCCAGCACCAAATGTGTAACCAATGGGCACAAAAATCATCCCATGGTGAACAAGCTGAGTAATAGATGTCAACCTGCAGATTTTCAAAATCAGAAAAAGCAAATAAGGATCACTGGAATACACCCAAGAGAAATTACAACAACAACATCAACCAAGTTTATCTCACTAAGTTAGATCGGCTATGTGGATCACTAAAAGCCATGTAGCTTGGTCAAAAACATGCCTAAGAGAAACTGTTGAAAACAAATTTGAGCGAGATTTGGTAACTCACGGAGTAGTCTCTTGTCCACCTCCTTGAGAACCAGTGCTGTAAAAGATTCCTGCAGGCTTTCCTGCTAGTGCCTGTGTACGCCATAGGCCTCCAGTTGCATCCAGAAAAGCTTTAAATTGAGCAGCCATAAGTCCAAATCTTGTGGGAAAACCAAACAATAAACCATCAGCCTCAGGTAGCTCATTGGGTGTAATAATTGGCACATCACTCTTTGGAGGTGCTCCCATCTTCCCAAGGACTTCTTCAGGTAGTGTTTCAGGTACCTGTATGAATATAATCAATGAATAATGAAAATTCCAAAATTGTTCTGAATTACAAGTTATAATGGATTGTGGAAGACTGAAGGAAATATCTTCATTAGAGGAGTACTGACGACATATATTTATTGGGTGAAATTACTGTAATTAAAAGGGGAAGTGGCAAACATTTTTTAGTGGGCTCATATGAATGTTATTTAGTAGTAGATAGTGTGCCAAAAAATATGTATGGTTAAAGCATCTAAAAGATATAGAATGGTTATTTGAACATTTTAATTACTAGAGCCCAATCTTTGGAAGATAGATTGAAGACAGACTTTAACACATCTACAAATGTGCGGAATAACTTGAAATACTAGCCATTACAAACCTGCCATAGCTTTGCTTCTACTCCTTCCACGGAAGCTGCCCCTTTTTTAATCTCCTCAGCTAGCTTCTCAACATGTCCGTACATAGAATAGTAACTAAACAGTTAACATGTAATGCAAATTTTAATTAGATTCAAGCCAAAGCATTATGATAAACATTAAGTACAACTTCGGAAGGACGATATCATAAGGTACTGAATAATTATTCAAAGAGGAACCCAAAACAAAAAAGTGTTGAGACTTGAGACACTCTTTTTTACAAATGGATAGACAAAAGAACTCAGCAGTAAATGTCGAATTTTGGGTCAATAACACTAAAGCTCAAAGTCATCATTAAAATAAGGCGTGATTCACTTAGTCAGGAAAAATTACTATACCTACCACTAATGCATCAACAGAGGGTTATGGTGGCACTATGCTATCATCAAGGACAACTATAAGCATTTTAGTACCAGACAAGACATGATGACATTGACAACACATTCTCTACAGTGATAAACCATTTAATTTGGCTTGCCTCGTTTGCATTTGCATAAGAAATAATAGAAATGGTTGGGGCCTAAGAAACACTCTCAATACTAAAGTTAGATCAGAATTGCAAGCCAATAATGATGAATGTCAGGACCACACTCTATCCAAGTGCGTGGGGCTTACACTCTCTTCTCCATGGATATTGCCTTTACAACCTTCTTATGAAAAGGTAGCCTTAGGGGTCTTCACCATCATCATATTTTTCTTGCAAATTTCGCTTGTGAGCCCCTTCCTCCCCCATCAAGAAAAAACAAAACTCAACATCAAAACTCTCTCTCTCTTACTTATATACCCCCATTTCCTTCCAAAGAGGAACAAGAGACTGGAGAAATGACCAATCAAAAGAGAATCGAAAAATAGATCTGTGTCAAAAATTTTCCTTGGGGGAACCATAAGAAGGGCTGAACAATACATTAATTTATCCTAAAAATATTTATGGGTTAATTAATTGATTTGATTTGATTCTCAAATTTGACTCGATGGGATTCTACATAGGCACAGCAGATATAAGATACTGATTACAAAAGGCTAATTGATGACAAGCAGCACAATCCCCCAATTTTTGAAGATGGTAAAGGAACAGCATGAAATTCCGAGAACTGCTATTTATCAACACAAAAACTGAACAGCTTCAAATTACCAAAAATGAAATGATTAAAAGGTACTAACATGCAGAGTTGACTTTTAACCCAATGAAAATCGTACAATAAGAAAGACAAATAGTCAAATCGACAAACCGAGAAGAGGAGATTGATTCGATAACCAGCGAATAACATATACCGATCAACAAAGGGGAAAAACATATAAACAAAAAATCAAATCCTACTATCATTCATTATTATATGTATGTGGAAAAAATAAAGCAAATCTAAAATTCAGAAACAGAGAAATTAACAATCTTTAACTCAAATAAGTGAAAAGCATGGGGAGAAAAAGAAAAAGAAAAAGAAAAAGAAAAAGAAAAAGAAGAAGAAAAATGACTCAATGAAATTAGAGTGATGTTGGAAACTTGTCTAAGGGAGAGAAAAAAAAATGAAGAAAGAGGAAGAATGGCTTACACAATGTAAACTTTAGTGGTAGCCATTGATGGTGTCTGTTGCTGAGTGGCTTTCTCTCTCTAATGGAAACGGAAGCAAGGTATTTGTGATGGTGTAGGTGGATGGAAACGTTGACAAGGGTAGCTTGTGCTTTTATAGTGCATGCCCCCGGATGATAAGCTGTAATATCTCTTCATTTTATTTGTTTATTTTATTTTTGCCAAAAGCTGTACCCAATTAACAATTAAAAAAAATTAATCGTATAGATTATTGAAACTCACTTTGTGTTTTTTTTTTCTTTTCTGCAACTTTGCGTTTTAAATATATAAAATTTTCTTATTCGTAAATTGAAATTTTAACTTAGGTTTATGTAACATGATTATTTTATTTCCGTTGATTGTCGATTATTAAGATAGGATATCATTGATTTTATTTCTTTTTTGGTCAGTTATTATGTCCTATTTTATTATTATAATTTAAATTTTTTATTTAAAAATTGTATTTATTAAAATATAATGACACATGTCAACAACATGTAAGAGTGTTTCACCTCTATTATAACATGTGATACTATTTAAAAAAAAAAAAAAAAAAAAAAAAAGAGTGTCAACTATATTTCCTAAATCATGATACATGTCAAAATTCTAGAGATTCTTGCCTTTGTAGCCGTTAGACAAGTATTGCAGAGACAAGACTCTGTATCTATAGGCTTCTGATACGTGACATTACTTTCCAGATAATTTTATGCAATTCTAGTTTGTTCTTTGACCAAATTTTGCTATATAAACACAATTAAGTTTGTATTTCTACCAACATTAACAACAATAATTTATGAAAAACTTCGATGGCTTGGTAAAACCTATAATTATCTTTTAATTAAAATTTATATTATATTAGTAAGTTTTTATAGTATAATTAAAATAAATTACAATAATTATATGTAATAAATTTATAAATTATTTTATGTATATATATTATTTAATTTATAAAAAAAATATAATTAATTTTAATTTCAATAATAATAAAAATACTAATATTTATTATAATCATTATAACTAATTATTTTATAAATATAAGCAACCATTTTCTAATCAAATAAATATCAACTATAAAATATATTTTTAATTTATATGTACAAATAAACTTAATTAAATTTTATTTTAAATATTAATATTTTATTAATAATAAGAGATATAACACGATGACATTATAAGAGCTCACTCATTCTAATACTACTCAATAATTGCAAAATGTAAAATTTTGAGATTTGATGTATTAATAATGGTATTATCACACTTCCTTCTGAACATTATGGTATAAGAACATTAGAGCTTCCTATCATTTAATACTCTAGAATGTCCCAGTAGATTTTGTAGACTAAATGCCCTAGTACACATTCAGCGGACCATATATGAATAGCTACTTCCTATTATTCAATATTCTAAAATGTTCTAACAGACTTTGGGGACCAAATGCCCTAGTACATACTTAGCGAACCATATATAAATAATTCCAACAATGTAATGCTCTTGCTTGGGTCATGAGCTAATGCCACTTAGCTCGACATTTGATAATTATTATTATAATTATTTTCTATAATAATGTTATTATTTTCTAAATAAAAACTACTATTTTTTAGTTAAATAAACATCAACTATGCAATAAATTTATAAATTCAAACAAACGAACAATTAATAATTAAGTAATAGTATTATATATTTCATAATAATAATTTTTTCTATAATTATCTTCATTATAATAATAATATGATAATGTTAAAAAACCCTAATTATATTATTTTCTATATGCAAACTATTAATTTCTAAATACAAATAAACTAATAATTGTTAATTAATTAATAAAAATATGAAATTAATTACAATATTTAAACAAAAACAATAATCATAATCATAATAATTAAAATTAAAATTAATCCATTTTTAAATCAAAACTATTAATTTTAAATTAAATAAAAATACAGTAATTATTTTAAAATTTAATAAGTTTAAACTATCTAATATTTACTAACTCACATTTTATAATTTTATTATTAATAAATTAAAATATAAATTAATAATACAGAAGAAAAAAATTCATCCCTCACACAAAATATAAAATCAAGTATATTAATATGAATCTTTTTAAGATGTGCAACGTTACAAAAGGATAGAAGTTATTGTGTTATTCAATACATTTAAATAAAATTCAATGTTATTTAATGTATTTATAGTATTAAATGTTACAAATTTTCTATAAAATTTTACTTTATATAACTTTATATCTTGTGAAATGTTACGGAGGTTAAAAAAATTTATATTAATATAATCACAAAAATTTATACAAATAATGGAGTTGGAAGAAGAAGAGAAAAAGAAATTAAAATAATAAAAAAGAGAAGTAGAACGGCAAACTTAGCAGGGATTAATTGAGTAAGCGTTAACTGTGACAAATATAATTTAGATTATAATCTGTTGCAAGATGCCCATAGCAGGAGAGACACGTTAGGACTTACTCGGGTCAAAATCACATCAGTCTCATCTTTATTGTGAGACTGATTTAAAAAAAATAAATATTTTAATAAATAGCTTTTTTAAAAAAAGAATTAGTGATAATTTTTTTTAATTATATATATTGGAAATTAAAAATTCTAAATAAAATTATTTTTAAAATTTTATATTAATTTTAATAAAAGAGTAATATAAAATATTACAAAAATAACATAATATTATATATTTTATTATATTGATGTAATTAAACACAGGTAAAATCAGAGTTTATATTTCTTTTATCACATTCTCTACTTAAATATTTCTCTGTCTTATCATTTTTTATTTTATCATGTTCACAAATAAATTTAAAAATTTTAACTATTTTATAAAGGTCGAATTTTAAGAGTTTACTTCTTAATTTTCTTCGTTATACTCGTCAAATACTAATATTAATATTATTTACCCATACTATTATTATAAAGTTATTTTCATTATTTTACTATTCTTTCTTTTTCTAATTGAATTAAACATAAATAAAAAATAATAATTTTTGAATTTTTTTATAATTCAGTTTCATTATTTATACAATTGTCTAGTTATTTTTGTTTCTTATTTATTTTAATTTTTTTATGTAAATATAAAAAAATTTAATTTAAAAACACAGAGTGTCAATATTTTTTACATTATTTAATCAAATATTTTAGAAAATTTTGTTATTTTTTAACAATAATAATAAAAAAGTTATATCTAAAGTTATATTTTAACTAATTAATAACTCGTACAATATACATTTTATATATATATATATATATATATATATATATATATATATATATTATTAAACTCTTTCTAATTGAAGAAAAATACTTATTACACTAGCTCACAAGAGTGGACACGAGAGAAGTCCCGAATCGCCTATTCTATTAGTCTTTCTATTATCACTATAATTGACTTGACTAGCTAGCCTGTGAAATACTTAAATATTTTATTTTAAAATAAATGTGTTTTAATAATTAAAAATAAAATTTTATTTTTTTAAATAATTATATATATGTACAATAAAATTATATTTAAAAATATATTTTTAATTTATTTTAACTTTACTTTGTAACCTTCTCATAAAGCAATAAAAAGTTTTTACAAATGTAAATAAAAGTATATATGAAAAATCTAAAAGTTTATATAAAGTAATTGAAAAAATTAAATAATAATTCTCATTTTAAAAATTAGAATAAAATTAACAAAAAATACAAGTAAAAATTAAATCAGATGCAATAAGAAAAAATGTAGTTCACATATATTTTTGGACAATTTTAATTATATAAAATACATGTGACTAAATATGAAAAAATAAATTTATTAAATGTCTCACTTTGCAGTAAGAGTATTCTTATTTATAACATAAAAGTTGATTGATTACTTTGACATTTTATACATTATTATTTCTTTTTCTTTTAATTGAGAAAACAATAACTAATATCATCTTAAGGACCTAAAACAAAAGATAAATAGATTTATTTTCTTAAAAAAATACAAATAGAAAAATAAGAGTAGTTATTTCAAAGTTAAATACCTGACCTTGGTACAAACCATCATGCAAGTTAAAATTAAGGTTAACAAATAGTACCCTAACAAGATTCTTCATTTTTTTTTGTATACAAAGCAATAATAAACAATAAAGTCAAGCTGAATTAAAATGAGGAATTTATATAAAATAAAAAGGTAAAATAAATACTTGATAAAGCAAATAAAGGTAAAGGGACTGATGTTAATGAAATTTAATTGATCGGTGCTAATTGAACTATGAATCTATAATATTTGTATTATCACTATTATAAATTCAGGTTTTGCTTTTAATTAGTGCAAGGTGATGGTGAAAGATGCATTATTGGTGGGTCAATCCGTAAAATATCGCATCGTATAGTCAGTGGGAGTAGTTGAAGCCATGTCCATTATATCATTGATCAGCCATTGACTAATTGTTACATAAAACTGGTTTATAATTTCTTATAATAATTACTTTTATTTTAATACTCCATAATTATATCAAGGATACTTCTCTAATTACTTTGTTTGAACATTTAATCGCAAAACATGGGTCTATCCAACGCACAACAATCTTCTTAAATCTTAAGCAAGTTATTTAGTGGAGTTCAGTATGAAGTTTCCATTAATTTAATTTTTTTTTAACTTCAACAACGTTTTCTAATTAATTCATAAACAAAATTGAATATGTGTCCTATTCAATAATACAATTATTTCAATATTATGTGTTATTATTTTCTATTCAGATAAAATAACAATAAAAAAAATGTTTGAATTTTGAATTAAAATTATGCTTTGAAGTTGAAAAGTATTTGAGGACAATTATAATCTAAAACCAATATATTAATGATTTATTTTTTTATATTTAAAAAAATCATCAGATGCAAGTACGGGTAATACATACCACGACAAACACAAATAATCACTGTTTCGTGTACTCCAAGTTGTGCATCATAATTCACAATGTCCTAAATCTAGCTAAATTATGTCTTTATCTAAGTTATTAATGAACTTTAGAGCCTTCGTCTTCAAGCATGTTTCTTACTTCATGGAAATAAAATTGACGCATATATATATATATATATATATATACATACTAAAATGTATGGTGAGTAAATGGT